GTTGTGTAATTCCAACTAGCAAAAAAGCTGGAGAAGGGTAGGGTAACTTCAAATTTGTTAACTTTTTACTCTGGGAAATTGCCACAATCAACACTAATTTCATGGTGAAGGGAATGTTTCGTTTGGATAAAATGGTAAAATTTGTTCTTTTCTCCATATCTGTGCCTCTATAGTATGCATAGAAAGAAGAAAATATCAAAGTTTCATCTAGCTGAACTAGTGCGTGGATTATATAGACATGAATGTTTCGTTTTTTGAAAATCAAAACGCACTTTTTCTGGAAATACATCAACATATAGTACAGTTTGTGCACTTCATACTCATATAAGAAGTGAAAATGGATGCCCTCTAGTAAATTTAATTCTAATTCTCGAAGGTGGCAGAATGTAGGATGAACACTGCTTCTTTTGAACATGTACCCATGTCTTCATTCCCGACAATTACCCGACTGGCTCCGACTGATTTTATTAATTGTAGAAATCAAACTTTTGTAATAAGCACAAATGTTATTCAAACAGAAAAACAACAAATGAATAGCCAACAGACGTTTTAAAACAGTGTACAAAACAAAAGTACTAGATTACATTTGTTTAATAACTAATTAATGATTCAGATTGTTTCCAAATTATTGAACAAATTATTATTATTATTCATTCCAAAAAAAATATTATTATTCTTTCTTATAAAAATTTTTTTTTATTATTATTGGTTATTCAAAAAAATATATTTTTATTATTTATTATTATAAAAAATTATTACTATTTACAAAATTAGTACGAGAGAAGGAGAGAGACGATTTTAGAAAGTAATAGCATTTATTGTGCGGCACAAGCAAGTTCCTTCGTACAAGACGAAACATGTATTTCAATTCTCCTCTCCTCAAGGTAAGGCAATAAAGAATGGTCTGTGCTTCATATCTTTCTTTTACATAAAAGATTTTGGTACCTTTTCTGATTTTCAAATAACATTTTTAACATTCTTTCTTGACGCTCTTGATTAATTAACAATTGTTTTAAATAGTTTTCTTCAGACTTCTATTCGATAATAATGACTGTTTTAATAAGACCGTAAGTTCCTTAGATTGAAAATAAAGTATATACCTAGTTTTGATTAAAGAATTGAACGCATTTATAATGAACGTTACCTGTTCACCATCAGTATCGTCAATATTGTTTTTAATGGTGGTATTTTTATGAAGGACTTTTGTCCCAGTTAATTTTGGTGTTTTGAGAATTGTTTTGAAGATGGTGTTCCCAGTATACTATCAACTGTGAATTTGTTATTTGTTTTTCTTTTGTGAGGAGGATCTGCATCACTATCGTCATCGTCCGTTGATATTTCTTGCGAAAGGCTTGTTGATGCCGATTTTTTCGTTGCTTGCTGCTGCCGTTTTTGTTGAGGATTCATCGCTGCTAATTCTCGTTTTTTATTTATCTGTTGTTGTGATTGTGGTGGTGATCGTAAGTGTTCATCATTGAAATCATAAAGCATTTGGTTTATGGCAGCCAAATTCTCAGCAGCACCTAAAGAGAAACAGACATAATGGGTTACGTAAACTTTACGTACACAAGCGAATATTTAGAACAGAAGCTTCAGGCTTAATACTACATTCTAGTTAATAGACCACTGTCAATATCTCAAAAGCATATTGCGAAAGTTTCAGCAACTGCAATCAAGTTTGTCTAATCTCCTCTTATCGACGGGGTGTTTGTCGTAAACATCATCGGTATTTCACGTTTGATGATTAAACACTCTACAAAATAAAAACGGATTCAAG